TCCAGCCGTACGTGTTTGAGCCCTTGCCTCGCAACGCTGCCAGTTCTGTTAGCTCTACGCCTGCTGAAGACACAGACTCAATGGGAAAGGATATATTAGCTGCTACATATGATTCAAGATGCTATGACCAAAAAAATTTGATTGACAGATGACCGTTGATATATGATTGGCCCAATTTAGGTGTTCAGGCTGACGTGTAATTTTCTGGCCTGCATAAGATAAGGAAGAAAAAAAACACAGATTTTAGGACAGTATTTTTTTTAAATAGAACATTTCTACATTTTTGGACAATATCGTCTGATAAAGAGTCCATTTATTTACATGTTCAAGCCAGAATGATTTGATATTTAAATATAATTTCTGTACGACTTTAATTAAAGATCACATTCTCTTCACTTCAAGGCAAATACAAATGGTGTTGCTAGTTTCCATGCAGACCAATAGAAATGCATCTTGGCTCCTCATTCCAGATGAAAGCCCGTCCCCAGAGGGGAAGAGAATATGATCTGTTAAAAAGAACAATCAAAAGATAAAGAAATTAGAAATAAAATAAAAAATCTTGTTGGGTGGGGCAACCTCATAATTCACCCTTTTGATAAAGATACCTTAATTGATATACTGAAAAGTTGCTGCATGTGAGAATGAATGAATGAATACAGTTGCAGCTCAAGGATTTGTTTAATTCCCTGCATATTCTAACTTGTGTTGCTTCTTATTTCGTACTCCTGAGGACAGCATGTTTCTAAGCTCTGCTGTCAGGAGCAATGATCATGATTTCATGTCTGACGGGTAATTATGGAATTTGCTCATTTAATTCAGTTTCTATTGCCGGACAAAATTACAAATCCCTAAAACTGATAATCAGTAATGCTGTAAAAACAACAACTATCTGACAAAGATCAGAAAAGCTTGCAGTAGTGGAAAGGTGATCTGAGGACACTGTCGATAACTGGGTTGGCAGTACAGAAACACAGATGGCTCCTTCTCCTCAGTAGCTTATGGATCTCGTTTGGACCAAAACACAAACAGCTGTAGTATTTCTTCTGGCAGCTGTATTATTGGGCTCTGAAGTTCAGCACATTGATACTGAGTATGAGTTACTGTTCAAGTTGGTTCTGTAGGGTTTAAAATGATAGGGAAGTGGGAAAATTGACCAACTAAGGGAGTTAAAGAGGAAACGTGTAGAGTAGGGCAGCTCTGTGTCTCCAGAGGAGTAAAACATTGGAACGGAAGAGGCAGCAGATGTAAATGGTGACCTTAAGTCATAACATGAGGTTGGGAGTAATGCAGTACATCTCCAGAACATTAGCAGGAGGTCGTTCCACGTCTGAAGCTCTATATTTGCACACAAAGGGCATTTGTGGTGATACAGAAACAGCAGTTGTCAGGATATGCCTTCTTGAGAAGGAGTCTCTAAAAAAAAAACAGAAAATAGGCACCCGAGAGACACATGGTGAATCCTTTTTATCTTAGTAATATTACAACTACAAGCCTCAGTTTATTTTATAGACATAACATGAAGCAGTGTGTAACCGTAATGTGGAATTACTTTTTCTATCTGTCAACCAAATAGAGGGGTAAATGTTCAGGGTGGTTACCCTGTCCTGGTATGGACAAACCTGCAGCCATGTTCCAAGTCCTTCTCAGCCTCTTACAGGTTCTCCTCCAGTGTTTTCCTTCAATTACCTCCATCCAAGATAAAACGATTGTCTGTAAAGGTAGACAAATTCTCATAAATTAAAGTATTAAATAAACACAACACTGTGATTATTTAGTGTTTCAGGCTTAAATGAATCAGTATTATTTGACAAGCCCCTCTGATGTTTCCTAAGGGTTTGTTTTGTGGATCAAAATGGTCCAAAAACTCACAAAACCTTCTTTACACGATGACTACTTTCACAGGAGCTGCAGAAACACAAAGAATCACAAGAAAAGCTGTGATTTGGATTTAAAAAAAGGATTTCTGACAGACAAGTGAAGCAATTCTTCTGATTCTACCCAGATCCAGAGCTGCTTCCCCCATTTCTCTCATCTGATCCAAGAGCTTCATGTCTTTGTTTATAACCATAAAAGTCCCTGCAGTTGAACTCGCTCGCTGTGGCGTATTCCTCATAGCAAGAACGTGACTCATTTGCGTTTGTGCCTTTGGAGATGTGTGTGTTGCAGAGCGCAGGGATCTCTGATTTTTCATTTCTATAAACATTTTAATTTTGTTTAACCCTGTAAATGTTCCCTGTGAGGATGTTCCCCTTATGCTCCCAGGGAACAGTGATAATTTTATCTGCATTTATCATCTAGTGTGAAATATTTGATCCAAATATGCTCTAGCTGATATTAACGCATTAACTTTAAACACTAAAGGTTAACTGCAGCTGCAGCTAGTATTCTAAATGTTACTTTTTCAGAAATATGAATAAAAGCCAAAAAGAAAAAAAAGCAGATTAAATACATTTGAGAACACAGCCAATATATATACATATATAGTTAAGGGCTGAAATAATTAATCAGATTAATCGATTATTTAAATAATTGTCAACTAATGTAATAATCGATTAATCATTAACTGGAGTATAGAGACTCTAAAACGTGCCTTTAGCTGACAGAGCGACCCACTTAGAGCAGGAATTATGAACATTTTAAATGTTAAGATAAAAAAAAAAAGTTTTCATCTTTCAATATGCTCTATCCCAAGCTTCTCAAGTAGAAAAGTTTTAGTTTTACCAAATTTAATTTCGTCTTTAAGGAGCCCTTGGAATCCGATTGTTTATCGATAAATCAATGTAAAATTGGACAACCCTTTGGCCTAATTTTCGATCCCTACAGCTGGCCCTGCTCTGAGCTCAAAGTGACTTTAACAGGTTAGACTCTCTGTAGGCTAAATGTGTTTCTGTTGTTTTTCAGCAGACTCTCAGGTTTGTAGCTTTGCTATACTTTACATGGAATAGAGCAAAAAAGAAAAACGTTGTGTGGTTAAAAGACCAGATTTTTTTTATTTAAAATTTTTTTCCAATATTACATTTGTTTCCAATAGAATTTTAATTTACCTTGATTGATATTTTTGTGCTTAAAATGGGTTCAAGTCTTTTAAAAACATATTTGAAAGTTTTAATATAGTGAATAATTCTAAAAAAAAAATGAAAGAAAAATACCTGTTTGTCCTCTTTTTCACTCACTAGGGGAAAAAGCTTAAAATAATGACTGCATGTAAATATTTCAAGAAGGAAAAAAGAAAAAAAAGATTCCTTTTGACAAAATACTTTCTCATTGTTTGCACCTCTTTTGGAGCTTTCAGCCTCTTGATTGCTCCTGGTTCTCCAATTATTTCTTAATTAAGATTTTGCTTTAAATTTCCCTCAGCAAGTTCAGATGATTAAAAAAAAATAAATAAATAAAACAGACTTAGATCTGGCACAACAACAAATTTAACTGAAGCAAAAATGGGGCTCAATATTGACTTCTTCATATTTGTTTAGTTTTTATGTCATTGTCACAAAAATATAAAAACTTATCAGTCCTAAAATTGTTCCACTCTATGAAGGATTTTAGAAGTTGCACATATGATAAGTCTGTCACGGTTTTCCACGGGAAAAAAATAATAAACACTGTTTTTTATGTTAAGTCAGGAGTCTAAATCTCATTTTTATATTGGGTCGCTTCAGCATTAATAAATCTTTAAAAAGGCTGCTTGCAGCTGTATAAAATATACATTTTATATTGTTTAATTTGCATAGAGCACACTGCTCTGGTATTATAACTTTAATCCCCTTTATTTAACAGTTTTATCCACTTTAAAAATTGCCATGCCTGTGTTTTAATGACATATGCTTGTTTTGACTCAAGAGGGACTGATAAACTGCCTTGGAGGGCTGGATCAGTCCACAGACCTTGACTTTGTCACTTATGTTGTAGATGTTCACAGAAAAGGAAGTTTCACAAAATGGAAAACTATGTTGTTGTTTTTTTATCTTTGTAGGGGAAATACTGTAATATATTACAGTGCTAACCTACATTTAATTAAACAGTAGTGAGGATACCAATGAGATGTAAAAGACGGCAACTAATAAAGCAGCTCTTCATCTAAAAGAAGATTGGTTTTTGCAGGCCCTTTACAAGGAGGAGTTTGAGAAGAACAAGGGGAAAGGCTTCAGCGTGGTGGTCGACACACCGGAGATGCAGAGGCTGAAGAAGACGCAGGACCAGATTAGTAATGTGAGTGCAGATTCCCTTTTACCAGCACAAAAAAACAAAAAAAACAAACCAAACCTCGTCTTTGACTCTGCAGATATTAAAGATAAAGGTTAGGTTTAAAAAGATCATGAGGCAACAGCTACCAGTGGTTGTAGAGCATGATGATAAATCCGTGACATAAAAAGTAGTAGTAGTTTTTTTTCTATAATTAGGAAAAGTTTGGAGTTGAAGTTTGATTTTCATATTAAGTAGCTTGATTTCCAATTCAGATCAGTTTTGTATATAAAAAAAGGCCAATTTTCAAAACATGTTATCCCAAAAAACTTTACAAACTTAATGAAATCATACAAACAGATTGCTTTGAAAGCTTTTTAAGGATCAACCACATCGATTGCATCTAATCATTGACAGAATTCACTCCTCAGTAAGCATGCAGAGATAGTATATACCGGTAGTTGCTTGTGTTGAAGCACATTTTGAGAGAAAACACATTTAACAGGAAGAAACCTCCAGCAGAACTAGAACCTTCTGCCACGACCGACTGGAGGTTTGAGCAGACTGACCAGACACACAAAAGGAACAAAGAAGCACTTTCCATTTAAGAGAAAATTTATTCTTTTCACAGTTGTAGCTCCTGATACTTCATTTAGGAGACAGGCACGGCTCAGTAGAGCTCCGAGTCAGTTTTCAAGTTTTGAGTATAAAGAGAGTAGAAAAAGAGAGAAAGTTATGAACTGAAAGACAGAACCAAGTGATTCATAGATAGAAATTGAGCATGACCTTGCCTCCCTCCAGGATGATGTCACAGCTGAACACAACCCCCGGTCAGATAAAGCTACAATAAAAATAAAACATAAATGAGAGACAGAGATGGCAAAAGTACTCACTTTCTACTGAGTAGAAAGTACTTGAGTAAAAGTACAGATACTTGTGTTAAAAAATACTTTGGTAAAAGTGAAAGTACTGATTAAACTTCTTTACTCAAGTAAAAGTAACAAAGTACAAGCTTGTAAATTTACTTAAAGTATAAAAGTAAAAGTAGAAACCACTTTTTTCATGCCGTTGCCTACATTTTAAATGGATGTCTGCCAATAGGACTAGATCTCCGTTGTGTTCATTTTCAATCATCTCGTCGTCCATACTACTATGCTAACGCCACCGCCACCAAGCTGCAATGATTTGCCGTGAATGAATACCGCCGAATCTGTCGATTCATCTTGTAGTGGTGCGTCAAATGCAACGTAGATTCCCATCCAATTAGATTGAATTTGGTATTGATGACGTGAAAAATAATAACGGTAACTCCATTGAAATGATTCAAAACTAAAGTAACGAGCCAATTTTTTTAAAATGTAAGGAGTAGAAAGTACAGATATTTGTGTAAAAATGTAAGGAGTAGAAGTAAAAAGTCGCCATAAAAATTAGTAGTAAAGTAAAGTAAAAATATCAGAAAAATCTACTTGAGTACAGTAACGAAGTATTTGTACTTCGTTACTTCCCATCTCTGATGAGAGAGAGAGAGAATGTATCAGACTGTCCTCCTGCAGTCTAAGCCTATAGCAGCATAACTATAGCTCATCATAACCTAAGGCCTTTTGGCTATAACCTTTATCAAAAGGGAAAGTTTTAAGCCTTAAAAGTAGACAGGTCGTCTGCCTTATGGATTACAACTGGTTGTTGGTTCCATGAGAGAGGAGCCTGATAACTAAAAGATCTGCCTCCCATTCTACTTGTAGATATTCTAGCCATGGGTTAACCTGCAGTTTGAGAGCAGAGTTTTCTATTAGGAACTTAAGGAACACAAGATCTTTGATATCAGACAGCGCTGGGTTGTTTTACAGCTTTTTACAGTGGGTACCGAAAGTATTCAGACCCCTTCAAATTATTCACTTTGTTTTATTATCATCAAATGTATTAAAAAAGAAAAAATGAAATATCACATTGTCCTAAGTATTCAGACCCTTTGCTCAGTATTAAGTAGAAGCACCATTTAGAGCTAGTACAGCCATGAGTCTCCTTGGGCATGATGCAACAAGTTTTTCACACCTGGATTTGGGGATCCTCTACCATTCTTACCGCAGATCTCTCCAGTTCTGTCAGGTTGGATGGTGAGCGTAGGTGGACGGCCATTTTCAGGTCTCTCCGGAGATGCTCAATTGGGTTTAAGTCAGGGCTCTGGCTGGGCAAGTCTAGAATGGTCACAGAGTTGTTCCCAAGCCATTCCTTTGTCATTTTAGCTGTGTGCTTAGGGTATTTATCTTGTTGGAAGATGAGCCTTCGGTCCAGTCTGAGGTCCTGAGCACTCTTGAAGAGGTTTTCTTCCAGGATATCTCTGTAGCTGTAAAACACCCCCATAGCATGATGCTGCCACCACCATGTTTCACTGTTGGGATTGTATTGGTCAGGGGATGAGCAGTGCCTGGTTTTCTCCACACATACCACTTAGAATTAACCTCAAAATGTTCAATCTTTGTCTCATCAGACCAGAGAGTCTTCTTTCTCATAGTCTGGGAGTCCTCCATGTGGTTTTTGGCCAACTCTATGCAGGCTTTCATATATCTTGCACTGGGGAGAGGCTTCCATCAGGCCACTCTGCCATAAAGCCCCAACTGGTGGAGGGTTGCAGTGATAGTTGACTTCGTGAAACTTTCTCCCATCTCCCTAATGCATCTCTGGAGCTCAGTCACAGTGATATTTGGGTTCTTCTTTACCTCTCTCACCGAGGCTCTTCTCCAACGATGGCTCGGTTTGGCTGGACGGCGAGGTCCAGAAAGAGTTCTGTTCATTCCAAATGTCTTCCATTTAAGGTTTATGGAGGCCACTGTGCTCTTGGGAATCTGGAGTGCTGTAGAAATGATTTTGTAACCTTAGCCAGATCTGTGCCTTGCCACAATTCTGTCTCTGAGCTCCTTGGGCAATTCCTTAAGCCTCATGGTTCTCATTTCCTCTGACACGCACTTCTCCTTCTTCTTCTTCTTATGTTTTTTTATTGGTGGATGGTAACCAACTTAAGGTGCATTTGCCGCCACCTACCAGACTGGAGTGTGGTTATCGATGACGTCGGAGGGAAGTTAATTCATACCTCAATGGTATGAACGAATCTGCTTGTTATCTATCAATCAATAGCTATACCAACTCACATATAAATTAACATGTGTGAATATTCACATGCATACACATACTTATATTCTTTATTTGAAAACGATTAAATAATCCAGTGTTTTTAAAAAATCTAATTAACTGATTTGTAGCAGAATTAGATGCATTTCCTAGAAGGTTTGCTCTGACATGCACTGTGAGCTGTAAGGTCTTATATTGACAGGCGTGTGCATTTCCTAATCACGTCCAATCAGTTTAATTAAACACAGCTGGAGTGCAATTAAGCAGCAGAACCATCTCAAGGAGGATCAGAAGAAATGGACGGCATGCGAGTTAAATATGAGGGTCACAGCAAAGGGTCTGAATACTTATGACTATTTTATATTTTAGTTCTTATTTTTGTATAAATTTGCAAACATTTTTACATTTATGTTTATTTCTGGCAATATGTGGGGGCTGAGTGTACATTAATGAGAAATAAAATGAACTTTTTTTGATTTGAGCAAATGACTGCAGCGAAACAAAGGGGTCTGAATATTTTCCATACCCACCGTATATGAGAAGTCTGGATTTATCATCGGGGAGTGCGGGCTTTGGGGTTAGAGCATGCATTTGTGCTCTGAGAAGGTTGCAAGTACCTGGTTTGATCCCCACATCCTCCACTCTGGGTTCCTTAACAAAAACCTTAAGCCCACACTGCTCCCCGGGCTCCGCACAATGGCAGCCCACTGCTCCCCAAAGGGATGGGTCAAATGCAGAGAGTGAATTTCCCCATTGTGGGACTATCAAGTGATATACATTTGTGTCAGGAAGCCATTGAAGCCAAAACAGGAGAAATATGATCTTTTGAATTTCTATTAAAACTCTGGCTGCAGCATTTTGGATCAACTAAAGGTTTTAAACTACAGTTTGAGGAAATACAGCGATTTACAGCATCACCCCTGGACAAGATATTTCTATTTTTGGCAATGCTCCCTGACCTAATAGAAATATGTCTGCCCATTCATCCATGCAGTCTATGCTTTTTTGTGGGTTTGCATTTACAAAAATATCTGTGCTGACATTTATACTATAAAGTTCTTTTAAAAATCCGGAGCTGCAGAATTCTGCTTCGGGATAAGGGGAACTTTGAAACATATCTATGTAAAATCCAAGAACAGATTGCAGAGAATAAAGTCAGAGTGTATTCCTTCAGAAACACAGTGGAACATTTCTGACATTTCTCCTCGTCCACCACGGAGCAGCTGCCCTATATGGTCAAAGTCTCTCAGCTGTGGACACAAACTCAACTGCTTCACACACACAGACACACACTTTGTTTTTCTCTCATGAGAGCACTAGTTGCAGAAAGGAATGGTAGGCACTGAGCTGCATGTCAAAAGGCCATAATCTTGTTTTCTTTCTCCATTTCCTTGTTTTTCCCACATATTGCTACTCTTTCCCCTGCAGAGTTTTAATGTTGTATCTGTTCCCTCTATGTTTCCACTAACATTTTCTGTGAGCTACATTCGCTGCAGCTGATTTATAATGCAAATATTTTCATTCTTCTTGGCTTCTCCTAAAATGGTTAACAATTCACCTCAAAGCCAAACCTGTAGAGGGGGATACAGTTCAATATAAGCAATAACTGCCCCCATGTGGATAAAATGTGTATTTGTTTGTGTAGATAAAGTATCATGAAGAGTTTGAGAAAAGCAAGATTCGAAGTGATGCTCCTCCCCCTGAAAACAGACAAGGTGGGTGATTTCTGTATTTATCATCATTGTATTAACATAAAAAAAAGAATAATGAATTTAATGTTTGTGTTGATGCAGAACAAGAACTGCAAGCACTAAACCCTGACAGTTTCTGCCAGCCTGCTGGACAGATGCGCCCTGCTGCTGCATCTCCCCCTAGTGGAGGGGTAAGGCAAAGACAGGGGCTGTTTAAAAATATGTTAAATATTGGTGGTGAAATTGTATTGTTACATAGATTTATAGCCTAATTTTTCATTCCTGTTTATTTGTTTGTGTACAATGTTTATCTTTAATCAAAAGGCTTAAACGTGTTGCGTGTATTTATATTAATTCACCTTTACACCCATGAGCAAATTCAGTGCAACTGACATGCCGTTTGGAGTTACCTAATTATGAGCAATGGTGGAAAGTCAAGTAAATTTACTTGATTACTGTAC